CTTTCTCGCCGAGTCCTTCCCCCCTTTCTCGTCCTCCTTCCCCTTCTCGTCGTGCTCGTGTTCTCATTTCCGTCCTCTCCGTGTGCATCGACGTCTCGTCCATCGGCCTTCTGACTCGCACCCTCTTCGCCTTCGCGCGACTTCTCCCCCCCCTCCCTTCGCGCGACTTCCTCCCCCTTCGCGCGACCTCCTCCCTAGCTCCCTTTCGCGCCGCGTCGCAGCACCCCCCTCCCCCTTTCACGCCGCCTCGCTGGCTCGTAGGGTAGGGAAACGAAAATGTATAGCAGAACTACATGATACAAAGTGTTCTGTCTACGACGACGCGCCCGACACGTCCTCCCCCGCCTCTCCTCTGTCTTCCCCCCCTCCCCTTCGTCCCTCCCCCGCCTCCCCTTCATCCTCCCCCGCCTCCCCTTCGTCCCTCCCACCTCTCCTTCGTCCCTCCCACCTCTCCTTCGTCCCTCCCGCCTGCCTCTATGCTCCCCCCCGCCTCCCCCTCTTCCTTCTGGTGCACGCCCGTCGCCCTTCGTCGCGCGCGAACGTCGCCACATCTTCGTGCCACCTCCTCTTCGCGCGCACGTGCCCCCTCCCCGCCCTCTCGCCCGCCTCGAAGCTGCCCGCCAACAAGTGCCGCGGCCCCTTCTCGTCCCCCTTCTTGCTCTTCTTCTTTTTCTCCGTCTCCCCGCCCTTCTCGAGGGCCTTCCTCCCCCGCTCCCAGCGGCCCTCTCCGTGTCCTCCCCTCAGCGCCCCTCTCCGTGTCCTCCCCCCTCCTTCGTCCTTGGGCGCTACCATATTCTCGTCGTCGCGAGCACTGGCAAAGTTGGTGATGGGGCTGGGAGGGTCAAGAATGCAATATGGACAATGAGGATACACAATGGCATGCTACGAGCGAGCTCCTAGACGCCGCGACGTGGTCTTCTAGAGGCCACGCGCGATTTGCCCGCGGACGCGCTCGCCCATGATTTGCAACGCGTTCATGACCGTTTGCTCGTTGATGACGATCTCCGTCGTGTCCGCCTTTGATCGTGATACGCGGGACGCAAGTGCGGTGGAGTCGGTGTCGAGGATGATACTGAGCGGTGGCATGGTCAGGCATGCATATAGCGCCAATGGCGATAGTGGGACGCACCCATCGTCGACGGCCTCGTCGAGGCATAGCAAGATCAGATCGAGGTTCTCGAGCACGGCGCGCTTCTCGAGCTGCCCCCGTAGCAAGAGGTTGAACGCGTCGACGAGGGAGTTCAGTGCGGTTGACAGCATCAGCTGAAAGGGAAAAGGTAGTGAGTATATGCGCATCCACCATAACGTTGCAGCGCACCTCATTCTCAGCCGGCGACGCGACGAAGTAGATGATGAGGTCGAGGGAGTGCCGGTAGACTGCGAGGTGGTCCTGGTAGAGGATGATGTCGCCTGTGTGCGCGGTCCGTGATCAACGTTGATCTTTAGAGGAGTGTGTACCACGCACCCCCAGCCTTCTTCGTCTTCCCCCACAAGCCCTTCTCGAACGCCTTTTGGTCCTTCAGTGTTGTCAGGCTACTAGCTTGAGGGGGACGCAGGGCGATGGACGGGGAAGTACAGGTTCAGTGACATATAGTGTTCGTGTCGAGATGGACTGCATACCTTTCGCCCCCAGCGGCGCCAGCGCCTCCGCGCTCTTTGGTCTATAGTACTTGGCGAGGACGCGATGCCCTTCGCTGTCCATGATGATGAAGGCGGAGATCGTGTAGAGCGTAAGATTCATGATAGTTGGAGGACGATGAAGATGGCGGGGACTACGGCGCGTCGGGGGATACGGTATGAGGAGGACGGGACGCGAAGCGCGTAGACACGTCGTGGGGGAAAACAAGGGACAACACGTGGGGTTAACGCCACAAATGGGTCCAGGCTTGCAGTGTTGCACCCGCGACTCGACAGTTATCCCAGGGCGCATCGGCGTTGACAATGGCTTGCTTCGCTCTCACTCGCACTGGCATCCACGCCCTGTCCCGTGCCCTCCGCCCAGGCTCGGATCCGGCTCCCCCTGCGAACGCTTGGTGGCGTGCTCCCGAAATAGACGGATCGCACGTCACCGCGCTCGCTGCCCGGCTACCTTCCTGTTTCGACGCGTGACGGAGGGATGGTTGTTTGGGAGGTGTTCGCCAACTTCATCTTTTTGGTGTGCTCAGGGCGGCGTCGGGATCTTGCTGCTGACTTCGGATGAAGACTGGTTAGTCGTACCAAGTGAATGTAATACTTTCTGTTTATACACTCTCCTCGTCCTCTGCTCTCCTCACCCACTGTCCTCTCGCCGTCCTCCTCTTCCGCTCTCCGTCTTACGTCTCAGCTCACCGACGCTGTGACCTTATCGCCGAGGGGTGTATCCGACGAGTGCTCGGCAACTGTGGCAGCTAACCGTTAGTGACTGCACAGTCTCGTTCCTTGCACTCATACCGGCCAGCATCTCTTCCCGCTAGCCCATACCTCTTCTCGCTCCTTCCCAACCATCTAACCTCCTCCGGACATCCCTTCCTGGACTGTCACACTTCCGTACATGCCGGTGAGCAAATCCTTTAAGCTTGCACTCTTGATTGACAATGGACTCGAGGACCCTCTTTGAGGTTCCCTACATTTTCAGGGCTACCTCCTTACTTGTTGACATAATGTCCATTGCTTCGAGTATGAACGAAGCTCGAACTGGCAATCACAAGACCGAACTGTGCATATGCTAGACGGAAGTGTATTTACTGACTCCTGTGTATTTGTACACCAATGTAGCTGTACCCCACCAATACCTCTGCAACCAACTAGACCTTCAACTACCGAAATCACCTGTCGGCAGCCCATTTGCACACTCCCAAGTCCAACCGTGCGCTCTCCCGTGCCGCCAACCTCAACCGCACCCTACCAACTCAACGGTACCTATTCCTTCGACGAGCACGCTCGGCGACGGATTCCCTCGCTCGTCGGACTCTCATGGCGCCGCTCGCCGGACGTCGATACGTTGCCTCAGCGCCTGGATGGGGGCACGTGACATGTTGAACTTTCGGAGCCGCGGTCGGCACTGAGCAGGAGGGCGAGCGAGGGTGGGTGGTAGCGGTGGCGAAGGTGGCGGGAGGCTGAGAAACGTCAGATTCAGATGTCGAGGTCGCCGAAAGGTCGGGTAAGGGCGCAGGGGTAGGCGGGGGACGACGGGCCTGCGTGATCAGTACAAAGTTGCTATAGAGTACTCTACAATGTACAAAGTAATCTACGACCTAGGGAGTTGTGAGCGACGCGTGAGAGATGAGGAGAGAAGATAGGACTCACCTGAAAAGACAGCTAGAAACAGACTTAGAAGTCCAGTACCTCGCCCGCCGGACGGCGATATGTTGCTTCACGAGTTGATTCGGGCTTCATGAGTGAATTTGGTATCGTAGTGCTTGCTGACAGCGGGCGGGCAGCGCGTAATTGAAACAAGCGAGCGGCTAGTGACCCATTTCTTCCTGTAGACTTGGGTGACCTTGCCATCCCGACTCTTGTACTTGCCGCGCCCGATGCGATGGTAATCGCCCTCGAGCAAAGGATGCGAGGGGAACACGCCTGACGAACATAAATCAGCAAAGCTGTTGACGAGAGAAAAAAATCCGTTTGCGACGCACGTTGTACTTGCCGCGGAGCTCCTCCGACAGGGACGAGAACACGAGAACCG